TGCCACTTCGCCAGGGGAAAAAGTTATGGCATGCTACAAATGGCATGCTACAATCACCATGTCTGTCCTCTTTCACACAGACTGGCAGTATTGACCAATATCAATCTACAAAGTATCAGTATCGAATTAAAAATCCCAGTATCACCCAACACTAACGATCCAAGTTTGCATTTTGAAACTTTGTTTTTACTGTTCTTGGGTTTCAATCAAGTGATGTTTTAGCAATAGAAATTGATTCAAGGGGGTCAATCAACTACAGTAAAACAACAAAGAAAGAAAATGGATGTCAACACATCTTATGTAAATGAATTCTCCAACTATTATAAAAGCCAACATAAAACAATATAAAAGCCGTCCATTAATACAGCTTTTAAATACTCTATAAACCACAGACCCTTGACCCCAGTGCTTGACTCCCATGTGACCTCATATGAAACAAAATCATCATAAAATTTTTGGTATTCTTGGGTTTCACTACAGCATAATGCAGTGAATCTGACGGGGGGTCAGCCTCAAATGTTTGATGCTTTATATGCTGTACTGGAGTGAGAAAATGATACAAAATTCCATGTATTTGCCACCAAACACAAGGCTAATACATAAAACGAACAATCGACTCATCTGATAACTGTGTTTTGTTTTAGAGTTGACCCGTCACTTTTGTGATGTCATATGAAACACAAGAATAGACGAATTTGCGCATGAAGATTTCAATTCTGGGGTTCATTTTTGGCAAAGATCTGTAGATAGTGAGATGGAAAATTGATGACGTCAACTCAGATCGGAGAATTGTCTACTTTTTATTCACCCTGTATAAAATTGTATAAAATCAAACGAAACGCAAATAAAATATATCATATTCGATTATTCAGATATTCTTGACTTGCAATCAATCCCTTTTGAGAATTAGAAGACAATGGCACGGCAGCCATGTTGGTGCCAAATTCAAAAGAAGTTATAATGAGATTCTTTTGTTGAAAGGGGACCGACATGACCGTCGCCCACATCATTGCAAGTCAAGAAGAATTTACCTTTTATTTTTCTTTTATCCACTCCTGAGTCAGCCATGTTGTGCGAGATTTTGCGAAAACTGGAAACTAGCTAATTAGTTAAGAAAATTTCAAGATGGCGGGCAAAGAGAGTGTTGTTGTGTCATCTGTGGGAAATACAAGGAGTGTTTGTGTTCAACTTCATCCTTTAGTTATTATGAATATATCTGATCATTATACCAGAATAAGAGCACAAGCAGATGGTGGCAATCCTCAAGGTATAATTGGCTTTTTTGACATGAGTCTACTATATCTATCTATATATATATATATATATATATATATATATATATATATATATATATATATATATATATATATATATATATATATATATATATATATATATATATATATATATATATATATATATATATATATATATATATATATACCAAATATGTATTTAGAATCATATATGAGTAGAGTGCTCGATATACCGAAGTATAGAGCTAATATAGATAAAGATAAAATAAACCTGGTTTACTTCATAAGATTTATTCACTACAAACTTGTTTCGTATGACAAGCAATGCTTGCCACACTCATCAGGTGAATTAATTAATATATATATATATATATATATATATATATATATATATATATATATATATATATATATATATATATATATATATATATATATACACTGGATCCAGAAATTTTGACCTTCGAATATATATATATGTCGGCCATTTTGAATTTTCTTGGGTTAATTATACGCGAACGCATACATCAAATGTCGCTCGCAACGTATTGTATATTGCAATATTATTCCAACAGCTCAAATGAATAAAAGAATCATTGATTGATGTCTTTGCACATAATCATAATGCTAGTAGGAAATGAACATTTGGAAATGAACATAATGGCTAGTAGGAAATGAACGTTTCTGCATGCTTCGCCAGGTCACGAATGCTGCGTGTGCTGAGTTTCAGGGGATGAAATATCGAATGACTATCGATTCCGTTAAAATTTCCGTTGGCAAAATATAATAGAGAGTTCGGCAAATACAAGGGCAACCGCAACGGCAATATGGTCATTAACAATAGCATTAATCCTCAAAGACAAAGGCGAATGTATAAATTACATGGTCTTAAGCGTTGTGCAATGCCGTAGTTGTTGAAACTAATACGTGATTTGCATCATTTTCACGGTGCATGACTACGGCAACAATTCATTCGTTCGTTGTTATTTGAGAGTTTTATTGAATTCGCGAACTATTTTTATTTAAGGGTACGTTTGAAAGAAACAGGAATACTTAATGAGGCAAATTAAGTGTAGTA